GACACTTTTATTGAATAGTTCTCATTTTTAAAATAAAAATATACCATTTATTTCTTCTTTCTTTTCTTATTTTGTTATCTCTTTTCTTTTATTACTTTTTATTTTCTTTTTTCATACTCAATTTCTTACTTTCTTTTTATTCTTTTATATCTTTCTCTTCTTACTTTCTTTTTTTTGCTTTTTTGTTGCAAATAATAAACGAAAAAATGATTACTTATAATTAAATTAGTTGGTTGTTTTTATTTCACTTTTTGTATAATCTAATCCATTTCTTCTTTATTTCTTCACTACTTGTTTATTATATGTACTACTTTTATTTTTTTGTTTAATTCATTATACCTTAATTCTCTTCTCAATATCAACTAAAAACATTGTTAATTTACATCTATTAATTATTTGTTGCTTAATTTAGTACATTTTTATTTTTGATATGAATTTTATAAAATAATAAATGAACATTTTTTATTTCATTATTAACAAATATTTAATGAATGAATATAAAATCGATTTGATAATATTCATTTATAATATAATATAATTATTTTGATAGACATTGAATATTGTATTTATTTTGACATAAAAATGTATTAAATTGATATTTCAAAATATAGTACTAATAAAACAAAATCGTTAGATATTTAATGTTATCATATTCACAACCAAGTTAAGTCAAGAAATTTCGTTATTTTAACAACTTATTATTATAACCATAATTTTTAATTAAACAAATAGAAATTAAATATTTTTAATATCTTATTATCATTTAATTTGTTACATTAATATTAATTCACATTGTATATTTATGTTAATTATATTACATATTATATTATAAAATGTTTAAATAAGTATTATATAACATATAACAATGAATAAAATATTAACAAAAATATAAAATACATAAACAAAAATATAGAACTATTAAAACTGTCTTGAAAGAAGAACCAAACCAACAAATTATTCAAAAATATCATATATTAAAATATGATAAAACAAGTTATATTAAAACAACAAACAGACTAATAGAAGCAAGGTGATGAATATATAGAATAGAAATAAGAATAAACAAAGAATAATAAGAAGTAAAGAGAAAGAAATCAAATAAGAAAGAAACAATTATACAATAAATAAAGAAGAATAACCAGGTAATATTTATAACATTCACACAACAAAATAAATTTATGAAATTAACAAACACTATGATTTAAATACAGTTTTATACAAAAAATATAATTAATAAAAATAATAAAGATAATTCAAATAAAATAAATAAAAGAATGAAGAAAAAATAAATAGTAAGAGGAATAATAATTTCAATAAATTAATGAACGTAATCCATCAACATAAAAGAAAAATAATACAAATAAAGTAAATGGATGAATAACAAATGAATTAAATAGAAATTAAAATAAAGAAATAAGATATTCATAAATAACATTGTTAATATTACCAATAAATAATTGATTAATAATGAGTCACTAGAATAATATCAATAATAGTCATTAAAAAATGAAATATCTAAAGTCTTCATAGTCAATTATAATAAAACGATACAAATTAAAAGATATAATAAGAATGTCTTTGAACACTATTACAGAAATAAAGAATATTAAAAGCACTAAAATAATCACTTCCCAATAAGAACAAAAAACCACTTATGAATATACATCTTAATTGTTTTTTTATATTATTTACTTGTTCTTTTCTTATTTTCAATTTAATTTCATTCATAGTTATATTCTATATTTCTTATGAATAATGATTTTGTTATCCCTATATTTACTCATACTTTTCTAATTCATTTTTTAAGTCTTCTTTTTATTCATTTTTGCATTGGTATTTCTTTTATCATTTTTGTTATGCTTTTTATTACTATTAATGTTCAATCTCCCTATTCTCCCTTGAATGTTGATTGCTTTTTAATTTTCTTTACAAGACTCAAGAATATTACACAATAAGATAATAAACAGAAATTGTATTTTTATATTGCACAAAAGTTTAAAAAAAAAACTAAATGAATAATAAAAGATGAAACTCAAAAACAAAGAACTTAGAAATTAAAAAAACAAAATAATAACTTAAAAGCAAAGAGCAATGAGAGAAATGATATGGAAAGTCATAGTAATCTTTTTGGTAAAGGCAGTTAAAGGAGCTATTATCAATGAGATAATAGAAGGAGAACTTAATATTGAAAAAATAAATCCAACATTTAGTTATTCAATTGATTTTACATCTGATGAACCAATAAGACAATACACTATGTTAATGTTAATTAATGAAACCAAAAAAATTGGAATGATAAATTGTAATTTAACAAATGAAGAATATAGAAAATATCCAATTAAAATCAAATAGTTTGACAAATTAAAAAATACATTAACAAGTAAATAAGAGAAATTAACAAAAGAATTAGTGGCAAAGAAATATTAAATAAACAAGAAATAATATTAGAATTACCTAATATAACAAGTGGAATAATAAATTGTAGAGAAAATCATATTGGATTTACAGTTAAAAGAACAAAAACAAAAAGTTTATTAAATGAGTATATAATGAGATATCAAGGAAATTTATGTCCAATGTCTTTCTATAAAACTATAATTTGTATTATTAATGTTTATTGTCTTCAATCACAAATCATTTCTAAAGCACCATTTTATCAAGTTATTACAAATATTAATAACAATATTCAAAGGTTTATTCTTGAAGACTATGTTGGAACTAAAGACCATTGGTTTTTTATTGACTTTTATAGTTTTATTGATCCTATTCAAATAGAATTAATTCAAAAATTCATTTCTATTGAAAAGAATAATCAATACTTTATTGAAGAACACTTTATTAATGTAAAAAATATTGGAAATGAATTGGATGGTCCATTTGAAAGAATACAATATGAAGAATTTATAAATGAAAGTGTTTGTTTAAAAAAATTACAATTAAAACTACCATTAGAAAGTCAAATTGATAAATATTATGACTCAACTGGAATTATTTATGGATATTCATCAAAAATTAATAAAAATAATAATATTATTACTATTCAACCAAGATACCCTTTATTAGGTGGTTGGTCTACTTCATTTTCAATTAACTATCATTATAAATTCATTAATAATAATTTAAATATATTAGAAATCCCTCTTATAACAAATAGTTTTCCAATTGGTGTATTAAATTATTCTATTAGTATTAAATTACCTTTTGGAATGAATATTAAAAAATATTGGTTTAATCCGGCTTGTAATAACATCTTTTCTTTTAAAGAAAATCATGTTTTTGGACCATTTTCTTATCAAAAAATTCAAGTTGAATTAAATAATATTGTTTTGGACCAAAACCAAATTTATTTAATGATTGAATATGATACTGTTGATTCTTATTACCAATTATTTATTAAAATAATATTACTTACTTCTCTTTTAGTAATTATTACTCTAATTAATTATTTAACACTTTAATATTTCTTTTATCTTTTTTTTTTGATGTTTTGTTTTTCCTTCTTATTTAAAAATGTCAACAGAACAAAAACAATAAAATGTTTACGTTCCACCCTTACAAGTATATTATTCAAGAGTTTGTTTCTGAAACTATAAATCCTGAAATTTTAAATTTGTATTCTGAAAAATTGAGTAATATATTTAAACAGTACTACTCTGAAAAACCAATGACCTATGACATTACTTTAGAAGATGTTTTATCATCACTCAATGATTACTTCAAAGAAGACACAGCTTGTAATACATACCTAGTTCTCAAGATAAAATAACAAACCATGATGATTTGTAATGAAGTATTACCAAAAACACATCAAGATGTGGGGTGGGAAATGATTTCTCAACATCTAGACAAGTCTACTTCAGTTGATACTTTCCACAAATGACACACAAAAGGAAAAATCCGTGAAAACGTCAATGCTTTTGCACAGTACTATGACGCTTAGTATCAGGCACCAATTCAATATGTACCACACAAGCTAGCAACCCAGTCAAAGTTGCACGTTCTTGATAACATCAAAGTCCATACTATTTGGGTCTATCTATTAGAACAAGTTATGCCCGAAAGCACTATCCCCAGTTATCATAAACTTAAATTATTGAATGGACACGTAGATCTACTCACATCATGCTTAGTAAGAATACTTTGTTCAAGACAGCTCTGTTTTCTCGAAAGAAAGTATCCAGAGTATCAACTGATTTGTTACACTTTGACCATAACGTGGCTGGATACTTGATCAAACATATCTTTAAAGATATATTTACAAGCGTAGAGGGATACAATGCAAACAGATCTTTCAATGGGGAAGGCTTTTTGAAAAATTGCCAAAGAATAGTTAAATATTTCATCAACACATCATTGACGTTTCCTGATTCTACAATACATATTAAAAGGAAGGGAGTAGGTCACCAGTTACACAAATTATCGGATCCATAGCAAACGCAGTAGTGCTATTAGCCTGCTTAGATATGCTTAACATATCTGTGAGAGATTATATGATTTTAGGAGATGATGCTCTTATTATCTCTGATCAGCTTTTGAATATCAAGTCGGTTAAAGGGTTGGAATCCCTTCCAATGATGAATGTTCATTTTGTTCTTTCTCCAGACAAATATAAGATACACCACAATGACAAGATTGTTGAATTTATTGGATATGAATTTTCTAATGGTAAACACATTACAAAGATATTCAAACTAGATACTAGATGTACTTTAATGGATAGGCTCATGTCTCTAGAGCAATCTGCTTCTAGAATTACTGCTCAGTACTTGGTTGGTTGATTTGAACTACAAGGATTTGACAAATGAGTTCAAAATCTTTCTATCTATCACTTAGACATTCAGAAAGATGAGTATCAAAAGTTTAAATATGTACTTGGACTAAGTAAGGAGACTATTGATGATATTATTGTAACTTCAAGAACGTCTGTTGCGATTCAATATACTAGCATCGAAACCAGGAAGTCAGCAATGTGTTTTTGAAGCTTGGTATGTGCTTTTCAATAGTTAAATAAATGAATACTTTTTCCCAGATTTAAGGTGTTACGTCTGAAACACTACACACAAACACTAATACAGTTCAAGCCTCAACTCTCCTAGTTATTATCTGGTTGTGATGATGCCTTTGAATAGAAATGTATTAAGTAATGCCTGTAAAGGGTGCACCAATTTATTATGGTTGAATATTACTTGTTGTAATATAAGAATTGATATTTATTAATACAGAGATTAAGAAATAAATATTAACCAAGAAAAAGGATATACTATTGTTAAGACTAAAAGAAAATCAGTCAAAGTAATATAGGGGTAATGAAATGCTCTTTTCTCTCATTCATAAAATAAAGTAAAATGAGGAAAATAAGATTGTTTAAAATTAAAGTAGAAATCAAAAGAAGAAGACTAAAAAGAAGGAATAAGCAGAAGAGGTTTGAGAAAATTTTAAATAGGAACAAATAAAGTAAAGGAATTCTTTAACCATGCTCTTAGAAAAATCTAAAGGATAGTTTAAACAACGAGATTACTCTTTTTTTTTTAATAACAACGAAGGGATGGGATTAATCTCCTCTAAACTAGGAAGAATAGATGAAAATTCTATTAACTTAATTAACTTATTTTTGTTGTTTTTCCTTTTTTGTATTATTTTGATGATATTAAAATAAAATGAAAAGACAAAAAGGAATAAATAAGAAAGTAAATAATGAATTAGAAAGAAAAAATAGAATAGAAGAGATGCAACTAGAATGCTTTTTATATTATAGAAAATAAAAGAACTAACATAAAAACTTGAATGTGAATGAGTGAATTATTTGATAATTGTTGAGTAAATTAATAGTAGTAAAATTTTATTGTAGGTACAAAAGATAAGAATTAGAAATCACAAGAACCAGATATAAAAGTATTACTAGAAAAATCACTAGAATAGTCTGAACTATCATCAGAAAAATCAAATGAGAATTCAACTTTTTTTACTTGTAATGGACTTATTGGAACAAAAACATTACCAATATCACAACGCAAGAAATTAGTATCATAGCCATTATTAATACTCATTTGTAATGAGTTTAATGTAGGAAGAAGTGGGTTAGCGTTGCGGCAAGTCATTAAATAATAAAAATGAGTATTGCTTTAAATATCTCTGAATAGCCAATAAAATGGTTTCTTTTTATTTTTTCTTTCTATTTTCTTAATTTTAGAATTCTTTCTATTTCTTTCTAATTATTTTTTTATTGTTTTTTTAATTATTTAATTGATCTTTCTAAGAATAAAGAAGAATCTAGTCTTATTATTTAATATAGTTTTTATTATTATATCTTAATCCTTTTTTCAAAAATAAATTCCAATTTAATTACAAACAAATCATTATATTTCAGTTATTTGTTCAAATTAAATCTTCTCTTTACTTCTCTTAATGTTTTTTTTCTGAAGTGAAATACATACAACAATTCAATTTTATGGTAGTTAATATATTATAATTAATTCATTTAATTTTATAGGGGTATATATTTGTTTTAGCATAAAAACCCGATAAATGCCAATATTACTCAAATTTAGTTAGTTAATATGTTAAATGAAAAATAACAAAAAAATTCTTATTTAAAGAAAAACAAAAAATTTGAAATTCATTTCTATTTTATTCCATACGATCTTGAATGAAAATAAGCACTAAAAAATTATTTAGAAGAAACAAATGAATAAACCCAAGAAGACGTTATTAAAAATGATTCTAATTGGGGATTCTGCAGTTGGTAAATCATCATTAATGAATCAATTTATTAACAAATCTTTTACTGCACAATATAAAGCAACAATTGGAGCAGATTTTTTAACAAAAGAAATTGACGTTGACGGTGAAAGTGTTGCATTACAAGTCTGGGACACTGGTTTGTTTTTTCAATTATGGAATAGTTGTTAATCAAATCTAACAAATCAGCTGGACATGAAAAATTTATGAGTTTTGGACAAGCGTTTTATCGTGGAAGTGACTGTTGTTTCTTAGTTTTTGATGTAACAAATGAACAATCATTTCAGTCTCTAGACACATGGAAAAATGACTTTCTGTCTGGAGCTAATCCTACAAATGCTACAAATTTCCCATTTGTTGTAATGGGAAATAAAGTTGATGAGGATGCAGCAAAAAGAGTTGTTAGTAACGAACAAGCAAAAGATTGGTGTGAAAATAATGGTGATATTCCTTATTATGAAACTTCTGCTAAATCAGGATTGAATGTAGAAGAAGCATTTTTGACTGTTGCTAGAAAAGTAGTTAAAACTATGAAAAAAGAAGATAATCATCCAGTCCCTATTAGTACTATTTCTATTGATGGCAATACTTCAACTGAACCAAATAAGAGCTGTTGTTAAATTCAATGTTAGGTTCTCCTATTTATTATTATATCTACTTATTTTTTTTTTTGAATAAATCATTTTTATAGGAAAAGCTCTTTTCTCATTTATATATGAGATGATACAATCATTAAATTATAACAAAACGAAAAGACAACCCCTTTTAATAACATTACTGTAAAGAGAAGCAACAAAAAAAATGGAAACCACTAATATTGTAACAGATGCTCCTAATGTTGGAGAGCATGGACAAACTAAGATTGATTATTATGACTTGAAATTAAAGTATAAGAACTTAAAGAATGAAGTTGGTATGTTAGAAAAGAAAAAGAAAGTATACGAAAAGCATAATGTCCCTACAGAAGATAAAGAAATGCTCGATAATGAAATTACCACAAAACAAAATGAACTTCAACAAGCTAAAACTATGTACAAAGAGAAAAAGTCTCAAAGAATGAAGGAAATTTTCCATAGGTCAGCATAAAAACTATTTGAAGTTTATTACTTATGAGAAATTTATTCTTTATTATCAATTTTTTGAGTTATTAAAAGCATCAAAAAAAAATAGTAAAAGTTAACATCTTTTAAGTTAGTTTTTCAATGTCCAACGAACAATCCAATAATTTATCTTAAATGACAAATGCACAAAACCAAACATCTTCACTTATACTTCTTGATGTTTAAGAAAAATACTACACTGGTCAAGTACTTATCCTATATAAATGTGAAATTGAACCTTAAGAAACATTACCACAATATTCTTAGCAATCATTCTCTTATAATTTAAGTTATGTTCCATGCATTGATGAAGAAACATATACCAGTGATAAATTAACCAAAAAGCTATCAACATCTTCATTTGAAGAAATGAAAAAGTCTCAAAGAATACTATCAAAAAATCAGACCCTTACTTATTAATGATAATCATTGTTAACAATTTCTTATTTCTTTTATGAGTGTCAATGTTTATTAAATTTATTTTGATAGACAAACTTTTGTTATGATAATAAATAAAATTTAAACCCTTTGTGTTAAGAAATTTATTAAATTAATTGAATAATGTTCCAAATAAAAACTCTTCTAATTTTAATAGTAGTTTGTTTCGTGTCTATTTGGTTTGTCATCCAAGAACGAACTACTTGTTTGAATAAAGGATTAACATGGTTTTCAATGTCATTGATAATTATTTCTTTTTTAAATAAATAGAAATAATTATCAATAAATAAGTATGGCTGTTCATTGTTTAAATGGATGTCAAAATAGTTAAATGTATTTGGTTGAACCATTTCTATCCTAGAGTCTATTAAAAAGAAAAATGCTTGATTCATAAAAATCCCAAAATACTTTAGTTCTTCTGTTTCAAATAAGATTAATGAATTTGATAAAGTACTCCAAATTATATTCCTAATATCTACTTGTCTATCCTCATAATATAAATTGAAGATGAGACTATTTTGAAAACTATTATTAAGAATATTTGTAATAACATAAGAAGGTGCTTCATTAGTCGTCTTTTCTTCAATATTCTGTTTTTGTGTTTTTTGGGACAATACCAATTCTTGGACAGTTGGTTCTCTTGATTTTCTATTAATGTTACTTTGTTGTTTTTCTTTTTCTTTCTTTATAGTTTCTGCTTCAATAGAAGCTTTTAATTTATTAATTTGATCTTCTTTCTCTTTAATCTTTTCTGTATTTTCAATAATAGAATTTTTTAATTCTTTATTTTCAAGTTTGACCACGTCTATCTTATTAAGAAGATTTCCCCAACTCTCGTAAATATAGTTATATTTTCTTAGAACGTTTTTGACTTTGGTTGAAATATTTTTTTCAATCTTTGTTAAGTCAATATCTTCCATTTGTATTTTTTTAGTACAGTTCTTTTTTTCATAAACATCATTTATCTTCTTTGTTCAAAAAAAGTAAAAAAAAATAAAATAAACACCAGTTATATTTCCCTGTACAACTTAAATACTCTTCTAGTGTAGTCATGATTCATATCCTGTATTTTCCAGTTCTACTCGTGTTGATTTCTTCTTTAGAATTAGTACCACAGTAATGGTAATTAATTCACAGATGAATAAGACAACTAACCCAATGCCAATAACATACCATTCTCCCACTTTATAGAATAACTGAAAAATTGATAATAAAATTGTTGGAAGAACAAATAATGTTAATAATATTGGATGGAATGGTAAATAGAACAAAGCCTCGACTTCTGCTTTCTTAATATATGCCCTCCAACGAATAACCAAATATGAACACATAATAAAGAGTGTTGAAATTGATAAGAACCACATTTGAAGTGATACAATTTGGTTAAATGTTACAAAAATTGCTATAGAAAAAGAAAATACAGATTGGAATAAAATTGCAAAATATGGTGTAGCAGTTCCTGCAAAGGAACGAGAAAAAATTCTTGGAAGGAAATTGAATTGAGTTGCATGACATAAACCTTGAGATGATGTTTGTAAGAACATTGCCGCTAATCCAAATACACCACAGATTGTAGCTACTTCAATAACATATGAAAGTGGTTGCCATAATTTATTTGCCATAGAAACATATAAAGGTTCAATAGATGTGTATGGTGAGTCTAAGTGTGAAGGAGGAATAGTAAAATCTAATGTAGTAACTAAGTCCATAGTAGGAATGATATATGTCATTACAACAAGTAACAATGCAACAACCATGGCTATTGGAACATCTCTTTTTGGTTTTTTAGCTTGTGAACTTACATTTCCAACAAAATCCCATCCCATTAAATTAAACATAACAATACTAATCATTTTAGGAAAAGATGCCTCATCAGAAACAACATTGAAATTAACAAGTTGACTTAAATCCAATTTTGGTGTTGCAATAAAGAAAAGTATCACAAATGGTAATATAACACAAACTGTTAATACAACACCAACTGAAGATAACTTTTTAGCCCCTAATATATTTACACTGATTAATATAGAAACAAAAATAATCAATGTTGGGATTTTTAATATAAAATATGTCCATGTAAAATCCTGGAAATCAAAGAATAAAAATTGATGATAAAGAGTATTGATATAATCATAATATAATGCCATATATCCAGCATTACATGAAACATTAAATACGGTTCTAACTATAGAATGAAATAACCCAACATGATATCCAAATGCTTTGTATACCCATTCATTATATCCTCCCTCAAATCTTACAGATAATTCTGCCATAGTCATTGATTGTGGAAGTGCCCACAACACTGCAATAACTAACAAACTCCATAAACTCCATGCAGGGTTAGAAACAAGAATGGATTCCTCAAAACCAAAAGGACCACCCCCAATGGAAAAATAAACAACAATAGCCAAATTAAACCAAGTGATTGTCCCATGTCGATTGGTAGCATTAGCTTCTGTTGCTGATGATTCAATGACATCAACAAAAAAATCTTTTGAAATAGCTACAGCATAAGGTTAATATATTTCAAATAACTTTTCTTTTTGTGTCAAATTCATTTCTTAAATATTGGTATACTTGCCAAAAGTAATAAAATCCACAAATAAAACCAAGAAAAATAAATAGTTGTGGACAAATGACAAACATGGAGTAGTTGATGGTGCAGGTGATGACATTATAACACCCTCATCCAAAATACTCATCACTTCTCTATTTTTTTTAAGATTGAATCATTTCTCTGTTCAACCCTTTTTTTATCTACCTAACTAAACGAAATATTCCCGAAAATTTACATATTTTTCTTTAAAAAAAGTTTATGATTTATTTTAACCAATTTTTGAAGTTCATTTTTATTTTGTAAAAACTTGTATAATATAGAAAGGTAAAGTGATAAAGAACTGTTCACCTCAAATTGACAGGAATGAAACTTTACTTTAAGATACCAAAACTGAAAGATAAACTCTATAGTTTATACCGTTAATGAGTAGTCAAAACCTAATTATTAAACATTATTAATGAATAATTATCTTTTTTATTTTATTTGGAGAAAGGAATATTAAAATCTTCAGTATTTCATTTTTGTTATTCTTTTTCATAGAATTAAAAAAATTCTTCTGTGGATTTATCATCCTTTATTTCTATTGGAGTATTTATACTAAAAACAATTATGTTAGAACATAATTTTCTAAATATATAATAAATTTATTTTTTTGAGTAATTAAATAAAAGAATGAAGACATTAGTTGTAGAAATATAATACTTAAATGATTAAAGACTTCATTTTAATAATTCTTCCTTTTTTTATCAATTACACAATAATGTAATTCCATTATCAAAAAAAAAAGAAAACAAATAACTTCTCACTTTCAACTATTTTTTTTTTCTAAACATTATCTTCATTACTCAATTTAATAATGTAATGCTTATACTTTTTAATTAAAAATAAATGTTCATAAGAGACTTTATGAGTCTTGATAACTTAGTTAGTAAATTTTAAAAGTGATTTTTAACACAACTCTAAAAAACTAAAACATCTTATCATGATTATTCTTTTTGAATTATTAGAAATAATTGCCTTTTGTTCAAAGAATTTTAAAGTAACAATAAGGTTTTGTGATATTATCACTGTTATTATTTTTATAATGACACAACTTTGACAAGTCATTCTAATTTTTTTCTAGAGTCTTTTGATATTCTCAGGTGAGTGTATTCGTATTAAGAATGATTTATAATTATTTCAATTTATTTATTCTCAATAAAACTATTCATAGGATTCTTCAAAAAGTTTTCTTCATTCTATTTGATGAAAATTTTTATCGAAACAACATATTATACTGAAAATGGCTCAAACATTAATCTTTAAATAAAAAATATTTAATTCATTTATGAATTAAATATTGTTATTCAAGTCTTGATGAAAGCCAATCAAGACCTTCATAAAGACCATCCCCATTTGTTGCACATGATGTTTGACAATACCATTCTCTATCTTTTATTGATGATAACATTAAACCTTTTGCAATTTCACTAACACTTTTGGCATGAGGAAGGTCATGTTTATTGGCAAAAATGAGTAAAGGAACTCCTTTCAAATAGTCATCATTAAGAACATTGAATAAAACAATTCTTGCTTCCTCTAAACGTTCACTATCATCATTTGAATCAACAACAAAAATTATAGCATTTGTACCAGAGTAATAGTATCTCCATAAAGGTCTTAATTTATTTTGTCCTCCAATATCCCAAACATTAAAATGAAGGTTCTTATAATCAATAGTCTCTAGATTAAATCCAATAGTTGGTATTGTTGTAACAAGATCACCAATCTTTAATTTATAAAGAATTGTAGTTTTTCCAGCTGCATCTAATCCAATCATAAGGATTCTTGTTTCTTTTTTAACACTAAGTATTTTAGACAACCAATTTCCCATTGTTTAATTAATGAGTTGTGCATTACAACTACTTCTTTAAATACAACTGAATTAGTCATTCATCAGAACAAAATTTCTATCAATAAGTCTTAACCAAAACATTTCTTCTGGGTGATTTTTCTTTTCAAATGAAAATTTTTTGAATGATTTTAATAAAATACGTTATATATTACAAAAAAATTAAAAGGAAAAAGAATTTAATTAAACAAAAAAAACCCTAAACATCGACAAAACCAGAAATAATAAACATGACAAATATCCCATGGGAACAAAATCCTTTTTTTGCAACAGAAGTACCAGAAAATGGAAATGAGTTGTTTGATGCATTGGCAGCGTTAAAATATGAAGGAACACCAGATGAACAAGCAACTAATTTCAGAGAACAAGGAAATGAATGTTTTAAAGTTGGTAAGATTAAAGATGCTTTTGAATATTATACTGAAGGTATTCAAGCAAAACCAACAGACTTAAATTTGCTTGCAGCTTTATATTCTAATAGAGCTGCATGTCAAATTAAAATGGAAAATTTTGGTAGGGCATATGATGATTGTACTGAATCGTTAAAGTGTGTTCCAAATAATGTTAAATGTTACTATAGAATGGCAACAGCTAAATTAAGACTTCATAAGTATGATGATGCTTTAGTTTGTATTGACCTTGGACTTAACCTTAAGAAAAATGATCCAGAATTTATTAAATTAAGAGATTTTTGTATTGAAATGAAAAAACGAATGACTATCACTGAAGAACCTAAAAATTATGAAAAGTTTTTACGTAAAAAGGGTATTATTCAACGTGATTTTGATTTAATGACTGATATGGGTATGTATGTTCCATTAAATATTAATATAGATAAAGATTCAGACGTTTTATTATTCCCTGTGATTGTATTATATCCTGAAAGTAATCAAAGTGATTGCCTTCGTGATTGTACTCCTGACACACAATTAGAAGACATCTTATTTACTTTAATGGCTGATGGTCTACCTTGGGATAAAGCTCATAGATACAATATTAAAAATTGTATAGTTAAAGTTCATGACAAAGAAACTGATGAACAAGTTGTTGTGTTAAAACAAATGAAATTGATGAATCTCCTTCGTAATTATTCTTTCCTATACAAATCTGCAGCCTTTTTATATGTGTATCCTGCTAAATGAATTTTTTAAAGTATCTTAAATTTTATTTTATTTTTGAGGTAATAAAATAAATTGATAGTATAAAAGATAATATTTTTTAATAAAATTATTTTGTATTAAAAAAGAATAAAAAAGATTAAAAACAACAAATCACATTTAAAGAAATATTTTGTTATATAAATTAAAAAAAGGTGTTATTCTATAAAAGAATAATAAAAAAGTTAAATAGAATAATAACTAATGAGCAAGAAAAACAACCCTATAATCTGAAATTGATTGATTAGCTCGTAATGGCTGTCAGAGTAACATACGTCAGAAAACACTCATACAATACCAAATCTAATGGAATCAGAATTGTTAAAACTGCTGGAGGAAAGATGACTGTTCAACACAGACAAAAAATTTCTAATGGAGTTAAATGTGGTGATTGCGGATGTGTTCTTGCTGGTATAAGACACATTAGACCACATCAATATGGATGGTTAGGAAAGAGCAAGAGAACTGTCACTCGTGCATATGGAGGAGTTAGATGCCATAAATGTGTCCAAAAGAAAATCCTCAGAGCTTTTCTTATTAATGAACATAACTTAATTAAATTAGCAGCTGCTAAAAGTAATTTAGAAAACAAACAAAATGTTAAAGAAGATAAGAAGAAAGCTACTAAGACTATCAAGAAGGCTGATAAGAAAAATCAAAAGAAATAAATTGAGTTGTTTCTGATTGTTGTTAGTTTATTTAATGAAAGTTTTATTTGATTTGTTAATTAAATATTTTATTAAACATTCAAGAAGAATAAAGAATAAATTATTCTTTATATTAGAAGAAGTTCTATTTCAAAGAAATATCAAACTTTTCATTTATAAAAATGAATTCAATTAGCTAATGTAAGAAAAATTACTTACTTGGCAACTCCTCCTTTCTTTTGTGGTTTATATTTCTTTGCTTCTTCAAGTTCTCTTGCTAACCACCAAAGAGCACCAGCTGGGGATTCTCCATCTCCTCCACTCTTTTGTGCTTTTCTAACTGAAGCTTCGGCAGTTAAAAGTGCTCTATTCAATTCAGTTTTATCACCAGAAAGAAGTTGTTGAAGTTCATTATTAGCTCTCATAGCAGCAACACCAGTTCCTTGAGCAGCTTTCTTCTCTAAATCTTTCTTTTTATCTTCAATCTTTTGAATTTCATTTTGTACATCTTCCATTGCTTTTTGTGCTTTAATAAGAGCCTCATTAGTTCCTTGAGGTCTAGCCATTAACTCCTTAATGGTTTGATTATATTTGTATAAAAGAAATTCAATGAATGCAATTTTCTTAAACTTTGGATCTGAAACATTAAGTTTTTGTCTCATCTCTTGGACTGAGAATGGAATTCCTTCTTTTTCAAAGAATCTATGTGCTCCAAATTCATCAAGTTTACTTCCATTTGCTCCATTTTCTACATCAAGTTCAGTAACAAGGAAATATAATCTCCAAATATTTTCTGCGTCTTTTCCAGCTTCAGCCCAGAAAGCATTAAGGAAGAAAATAGCTTGGTCCTTATAATTTTTATTAGTGACGTCTTTAAATTCCATTTCTAATGAATAAAAATTTTGATCTGTTATTCTTCTTTTTAAGCCAACTTGTTATTCGTTCCTCATTAGTTAATTATTTAATATAATATTTTTTATTATTCATTTTAATATCTTTTTTTTTTATCGTTGAATCTAAAAGTTAGTAACTGGTTTATATTTTGACGGCGATCTTAAAAAAATTAAGTTTTGGGAAAAAAAAATATCATTTAAGATATAAATTATCTATATTTGGAGCATATATTAAGGAAGGATGATTTTGTCTTAAATAACAGTTTTTAATAGAAGTTGGAAAGGTAATAGTGTGAAGATTAGAATATCCTATGTAAAGGTCAGTTATGTTACTTTCAGAGATGTTTAATGATGAAACTATGGTACAATATTCTAACTCGAAACGAGTTAATGTCTTTGGTATTTGTATATTTTTAAAAGAAGATGAAACAATGATAAGGTCTTTTAAACAAATGAATTGAGAAATATCAATTTCATTCATATTTCCAAATTCTAATGACTCTATTAGTTGGGGGTTTTGAAAATGATAAAAATGGTCATCATAAACCATTACTTTTGTAAGTTTACTTGTAAGATCATTAAAGTTATTATTGGTTAATGTCAATGACTCTGTTTCAAATCTTTTTAATGAAGATGGAAGAATTAATTCATTTGTTTTACATTCAAATAAAGATAAAAATGTTAATTGAGGTAATAAGTTAATATTTAAAGGAAGAATTGATTTTATTACATGTAATTCATTAATTGAAGTTGGTAAATTAGATAATACAAATAGATGGTTATAAAGATAGAAATTATTAATTTGAATAGAATTAATATTAATAATATTATTAATATCAATTTGTTGTGAGTTAATAAACATTGAATTTATAATATGAGGTAATTCTATTTTCTTTGAGATGATATTTATATCTAATATATCAAGTTTTCTTAAATAATTTAAATTTGTAGAAAGTTTGTCAACAGACAGTTCTTTTAAATAATTAGAAAATTGATATTTTCCTGTTACATTAGTACATGTAATATTTTCACAATATAACATTGATTCATTGTATTCATTATCTGATTTAATAATAGTTTCTTTAGGAAGATATAATAAAGAATTTTTATCATAATTTTCCATTATTTTTATATTTGTATTAAATTCATTATTATTAAAACAACCTTCTTCAGTTTGTATTGTACATTTAGAATATGGAAATAATTTAATAATATTATTAATTTGTTTATTTGTTATTATAATAATTGTATTAATATTTTTTGGAATAGAATAAATAATTTGATATATTGAATGAATTGAAACTTCAATAAATGTTATTTTTAACCATGAAATATTAAAATGACTGAAATCTAAATATTCATTTTTATTAAGAATAATATCTAATTTTCTAATATTTTTAATTGGAATGTATTTTAAATTTTCATATTTACAATGGTGAATTTTAAAATAATATTGTTTTAATTCTGAATATTTTTCTCTTATTTCTTTAATAAATTTTCCATCACATTCAATTGTTTCTAACTTCGGAAATATTTCAATTTGTTTAAATAATAATTTCTTTGTATTAATGTATCTTCCTTTTGGAATAATTAATGATTTATCCTCACATTTATATCGTATCAATGGATTGATTCTTGTTGAATCTATTGCTTCTTTACATTTTTTATTACAAAACAAAAATGTTATAATGTCATTAAATTTTTCAAAGTATTGTAAAACATTCATTAAATAAACCATTTCAAGTTGTGTTTTCATTTGAATATTTAATTAAAAATAAAATTACAGAATTTTGTATTAATTTTTTTTCTTTTCTAAAAATTAGTTTTTTATAAATTCCAATACTCCAAATTAAAACATATTTAATTTACTTAAAAATAACAAAAAATCATTCATTTATTAAAATATTAACAGATTC